TCTTTCCCTTCCCTGAATCATAAAATCTGTATTACCTTCCTGTATTCACTGTGGGAAATATTAGAAACAATAGTAAAGTGAAAGCAATTAATCACAGACTGTCTGATAGTATTTGTTATTATTTTTACCTTTCTGAAAACATCCAGAAAATATGAAATAAACCTTGTAAATTATTACAAATCCTGAGAAGTGAGAAGGAATGTGTGACCCTATCTTTCCAAGAGGAAGCTCAGAGCTGTGGTATGGCTTAAATGCTCTTAAGAGTATGTGTAGAATAAATGAAACCAGAAGCCTCTTCTGTTTTCACTGGAAGTTGCTCACTGGATTATAGTTTGTGACATCAAATTGGAGAAAGAACAGTGCTTTAGGAATACTAATGCTGATGGTAGATTTTGTGGTAGAAGTGTTGATGATCCAGGTCCCGATTTTGATCAACAAACATTGGATCTTCAAATAGCTTTGCTATAACAGCAGACTTTCTGTTTACAGCTGTGAGCAGCTGTAATCTGAATTAAACAGTCCACGTAGAGGTGCAAAGCTCCTTTCCCAGTCATTAAGTCATGTCACCTTTCTACTGAAGATGAAGCACATCACCTGGGAGCACAGCTTAAGATGGATCCACCTGCCTGGATAGTAGCCCTATGGAAAGGGACCTGGGGATCTTGGTGGACAACAGGCTCAACATGAGTGCACAGTGTGATGCAGGGCAAAGAAACCAACAGGATGCTCTGCTGCATCAAGAAGGGCATCACCAGCAGAGATCATGAAGTCATCATCCTGCTCTGCTCGGCCCTTGTCAGACCACACCTGGAATATTGCCTTCAGTTTTGGTCCCCGTTCTAAAAAAAGGATGGGACAGGCTGGAGAAGGTCCAGAGAAGAGCCACAAGGATGATCAGAGGACTGGAGGACCTGTGTGGAGAACAGTCCCCTGTGAGGAGAGGCTGAGAAATCTGGGCTTCTTCAGTCTTGAGAAGAGAAGGTTATGGGGAGAACTTATTGCCAAATTCCAGTACTTAAAGGGGGGGCTACCAAGAAGATGGAGACTCCCTATTTACAAGGAGTCACATGGAAAAGACAAGGGGTAATGCGCACAAGTTGCTCCTGGGGAGATTCCGATTGGACACGAGGTAAATTTTTCCCCATGAGGAGAGGCAAACACTGGAATAGCCTCCTAAGGGAAGTGGTAGATTCCCCCACACTGCAGCTCGTTACATTATGGATTAATGTTAAGAAAGTCTGCAGTGAAACATGGCTTGTATGGCTGTATAAGACTGACTTAAGGTAACTTCTATTTCAGAATCATGATTTTCCTCATGTACTTACAGTAATACATACTCAGGATGGCTGAGCCATCTCATATCAACTGTAGTGCTACCTAGAAAGGTTGAACCAGATGATCCTTGAGGTTCCTTCCAACCTGGCATTCTGTGACTCTATGATTCTGGAAACTTCTGTGCATACAATGTCAGTGTTGGGTTCACTTTGAACATGTTAAGAAATGAAACACAGAGCAATTTGGATTTGTTTCACAGAAGAGGTTTGGAAGCTCTTGTTTTCTCTATCCTCACCAAGAAGAAATGTGTTTTCTTATGTTAAAATAATATTTTAATTGAAGCTCAGGAAGTTCTTGAAGCTTATTTTGGAAGAGTCTAAATTTCTCTCTGCGGCTATAATTTAAACATTGAGAAAATGAAAATTTCAGATGGTCTGTTTTCACTTGCCAGAATCAATGGAGGAAGTAATCAGAAGTTTATCAAGACTAGAAGTATTTTGGGGTAAAATAAGGGAAAGGACAGTGAGTATTCTTTATCAAAACTCTGTCTAAATTCAGTGTCTGAGACATGGTAAATTAAGTATAAACAAAGAAAATGTCTCTAACCCTAACAATGTGTGTTTACATATTTATCTATGTATAAAGAAGAGTGGGTTTACATGTTCAGCTTAAGTCTTTATGCTTAATCGGTAGCATTTTGAAACAGTATTTGTATAAAAAGGCAGCCTATAAGCATGGCAGTGTCTATCATGGGCAGACTACAGTACTATGGAATGAGGAACTGAAAGTAGTATAGGGTGGGGGGGGCTGGGTTTTTGAGGCTGTTGTTTGGTTGGGGTTTTTTAATCCAACATAGCAGATGAATCAGCCTGAAACCAAGCTGCAAAGTCTGGGAATTTTCTTTGATTTTTCTTCTTGATACCTATCTTGTACAGGGTGTAATAAAGCTGGATTGGCCCAGGCCAGTTTGTGTCAGTAGCATGACCTTGTGTTAAGTAGGAAAGTCATTGCCTTAATTCTTACTTGATCCATAACCCACCTGTTGTTCTTTCTCAGTTGAACTTTTTATCTTCTTGTGATAACTGATAAGTCCTCCCCCTCTGCTTGGCCCTGGTGAGACCTCACTTGTGAGTATTGTGTCAAGTTCTGGGCTCCCCAGTTCAAGAGGGACAGGGATCTACTAGAGAGAGTCCAATGGAGGCTACAAGGATTATTAAGAGACTGGAACACCTGCCTTATGAGGAAGGTTAAGCGACCCGGGCCTTTTCAGTCTGGAGAGGAGAAGACTGAGGGGGGATCTAATTAATGTCTATAAATACAGGAGGGCTGGTTGTCAAGAAGACAGGGACAGCCTCAACTTGAGGAAGAACTTCTTTACTGTGGGGGTTACAGAGCACTGGGACAGGCTCCGCAGAGGGGTTGTGAAGTCTCCTTCTCTGGAGACTTTCAAGACCTGTCTGGATGCCTTTCTGAGTGATGTGCCCTAGTTTGTTGGTTTTGTTTTGTTTTGTTTTGTTTGTTTTGACTTGATGATATTTGGAGGTCCCTTCCAACCCCTCACATTCTGTCATTCTGTGTCTGGGTATTGCTGCTGTTTCTAGTGGTCCATGCAGAGCTTTCTGTCTGCAAGTGTTTTTCAAAGGTTATAGGTGCAAAAAGATAGAATGCCTTTTCCAAGCCCACAAATAGTTTCAGATCTGCCCGTAGCCTTTAAACCATGCCTGGTGAGAGCATCACCCCTGGCAACATTCACACAGGTGGCTGGAGATACAGGGAGGACGCAAATTACTTTGATGACATATCTGGGAGAACAGAGTTAATTCTGACAGTGTCACAAATGTTCTTTTTCTCTGTAATAGGGGATGTGTTGGGAAGTGTTTACATTTCATAGAAATCCTGTTCAAATAACACAGTCAGTTGGGTTGATGCAGTATTTATTCAGATGCTAAACAGGTTACCCTTCCTTCCCCCCTAATCATCATCCAGGTGGGAGAGAGCTCCACTTAATACATTGCCTTGGAAACCACAACTCTCATTCACCTTCACAGTGATCCCTGGTCCACAGGGAGGCTCTGGTGACTCCCTTTCATTTTGATGGGAGCTTGGTGGTAGAATGATTAATGGACCAGAGCCTCGTTATGTCACTTCAGCTGTGAGAAATAACCTTATTGTCAGCTGAAGACTGAATATTAAGGGAGTAGTTTCATGCTGATCAATACTTCTCCTCTGGTGGTAAACACTGATTTACAGTACTGCCACCCCCACTCCCCCTCGTACTTGCTCTGTGCCACCATGAACCCATCCCCTCCCATCTGCCAGTGCAGCTGTTTGCATGGCTTCTCTCTGGGTGGGAGTGGAAGCCAAAGCTGGGCTCAGAAGCAGACAGAAATGCTGGTTTGACTTTTGCCGAGTTAGTTTTAAGCTGGGTGAGTTCCTTTATCACAGTCACAAAGCAGCCATATCTGCATTTGTGCTGACAGAGCTGAGGGGACAGTGTGTACTGGGATTGTCACCAAGAATTTGTCTTGTGAAACCACAGCCTGTGCCAGGAGGGAAGGGATTGCCAACGCAGAACTAGCACCTGGTGTAATGAGGCAACCATAAGGAGCCTTAGCATGAATGGAGACTAGACCCATA